AGCCCTTTCCTCGTTTCTCTGGGCGCTGGTGCTGCGGCGCTCCTTCCATGGCGGCTTTAGCTTTTCGGGGCTTCTAAAACGGTTGCGTTAGTCAAGCCCGTAAACTCGATTTACGCAGCAAAGCACGGTAACTAACGGAGAGCGCCTTAAGTACATATGACTAAGGGGGATTTGAAGGGGATGTAAGCCCAGTATAGTATATTACGTTTCTTTCTGCGCAGCTCTAAGCTGATTAGGAAGGTTGGAAATAGAATAACCGGGATCCAGAAGAGCTAGCCGTTTGAACCTTGTGAACCCCTTCCCCCTATCATCATACCTTTTGGCAAAGTCTGTTCGACACTTGGCTGCCGTTAGGGCAGTGCGTGTCCCTTAGCTCACATCGGGTGCCTCGAAATACCAGTGCGTGCTGGGAAGGCAGTCACACAGCAGTGGTTGGCTGTAGGAGGGTGCATGCCTACCGGCAGTGCCCGCTGTTAGCCTGCACGAACAGAGCAACTGTTAATTAACAGCTGTTTCAGAGGATATTTAAAAAGTTGAATGTACCTCATTTTTTGTTCTTGGATTTGCAACATTTTGTTCAGGCCATGGAACTCGAAGCAATAAAATTCAAAGTGGAGGGAAACTAGCATTCTTTGTTTGGCTGTATTGTCTGTAGAAATGTGTTTGAAGAGAGTAATCTGCTGGTTAGTTCTACCTGGAATTCTAATATGACTTACAAGTATCCTCGGATGGACTTAAAACAATTAGGACTGAGATGCCCGTTCCACAGAATCAAAAGGAAGTTCAGTTGCTTTTGAGGTTCTAAAGTGTGGCTAGGTGGCTTGTATGTAATTTGTCTTTTGTTCAGCTGTTGTGAGGTCTACTAAAATATCTGTTAGTAAACTGATACAAAATTTATAAAATTAATGCTGGTGATTATCATAATTGGACTTTTGTAGTCCAAACTGCTTAAACAATAGGAACAGATTGAAACAGTACCTCGTAAAAAGGAAATCCAAAACATGCATTATATAACATGCTGTAGTAGGAACTGGATACTTGCCTGCTTTAAGTATCTGAAAATCTTTTTCAGTAAATGTGAATGTTTGAAACTAGCAAATATCTGAAAACTTAAGTAGCCCAGAATAATTCAAACTGTAGTTGTTTAATTGTAAGTTTGACTGTTATTTCTCATCTTACCGATGTATGTGGCCTCTTTACGTTTTCTCTTTTATATTTAAAAAAAAAAAAAAAAAGCTTTGCAGCACAAACTTGGAACAAATCCCTCTTTTCTGCTATAGTGTGAACCAGAGCTGTAAGTGAGCAGAGCCACAACTGATATATGCTGTTTTCATAGGCTCCTGAAGCAATAGGCTGTTCGGCTTTGATCCCGCCCAGAACCCTTGAGTTTTGTTCTGCAAGGATATATAATACCGGTAGGTTCTAGAAGCAGACATTTCATTCTGCTTTTTCCCTTTACTATGATGCACATTTTGCTTTTTCACAAAATACATGTAGTAGCTTTTTTTTTCTGCAACAGGTTTTATCTGCCCACCTAAGAATAAAAGGTAATGGAGACTGAACAACAGGAGGAGACCTTTACCAACACAGAGACAAATGGTAAGTTTTTTAAAGGACTATTTGTTTTTGGAAATGACCATTCTAAATCTTATTTTTTCTAAATATATTTTTAATTGTTTCTAAATATGTTTTTAGTGATTTAACTGCGTCAAATATGATTATTTCAGCACTAGTTTTACATTTTACTTTTAATCTTACAACTTTTAATTATCCCATGTAGTTATACATGCTTTTGTTTCATGAATGCATAGTTTTTCTTTGGGGATATTTTAGACATGGCGTAAGTAGCTGAAAATTAACAGCTGAGGATTTGAAAATATTGACAGCTAAATACTCAGTACTTGTTTGGAGAGTGTCATAATGGAAGAATTACTGTCAAGCATTACTGCATTTTATTTATTGCAGTTATTACACTGCAGGAGTACATATATGTGAAGTATCTCTAAATACTAACTTCATTTAAAAGCCTTTTGGGCATAATTAGTGAGGAAGTAAAGGCATTGGTATTAAGGTGATTCTTGCCAGTTTTTCAAAACAGTATTTGAAATTCAGCTTTCCTGTTATTCCACCAGTATTTCAGTATTGGGCAAACTACTTTTGAGCTTTTTGGCTGGAAAGTTTTTTCCCAACTGTAAATAGTAAAAGAAATACTAGATAGGTGATACTGCACTGCCTTAAACAGCGTGTTGTAAACTCGTCACTGACTAACTGTGCAAAATTCTCATTAAAATTATAGTTCATAGATTTTTAAAAGGATTTGTCAGTAGTTAGTTGATTTGCAGGCTCATGAAGTAAAAAAACCTGTTTCTGTACTGTAGAATCTCAGAGTAGATCTCAAAAATTACTATTGAGCTAATAGGAAATAACGCTTTTTTAGGAATGTAGCGCGTAAGCTTGATGTGCATTCCGTTTTATTATGACTTAGAAAGTTAAATAAATGTTTATGTTTTCCCCCTATGGACCTGTCTACAGGCAAACGTCCTGCAGAAGATATGGAAGAAGAGCAGGCCTTCAAAAGATCTCGGAATACAGATGAGATGGTTGAATTACGCATCCTGCTTCAGAGCAAAGTATACTTTTTCAATATCACTCTGATATTGCTTAGGGCATTGTTTAAGACAGTGGTGACAGTGTGTTTTGGGGTGTATGTTTAGAAAGAGCATGTATTTTATTTAATAGAATGCCGTAGGAATATTTGCTTGTCCATTAATGGTGGAAGTGTCTTGCAATGGCATTGTCTAAATTTTTTTTTTCCTCCAAGGATAAATCTTTAGAGGACTATGGGACTTCTTAATTTAAAAAAAATTACTGAAAAAATAGAGCAACAGCGATTATAGGCTATTTCTCTTAGGTTTGAGTAGAGGATTGTCTTTTGAGGGGAGCAATTGTGTACTAAAAATCTCTGGCAAGCAAGCAGTTTAGAGAATGACCAACTAATGATTGTAAATTGAATGTGAGAAGTAAGATGAGAACTTTTCCTAGATGTTGTTAATTCTTCCTACCAGATTAATAAATCCATTTGTGTATATCAAATGGAAGAAAACTGGGAGTAATATTTAAGGGATTGCAATAGCTTCATAGACTAGTTTAAATTATCACAGTAAAATAGCTATTTATGAACCTGTTCCAGTGTTTCTAGTTGTTACTGATGAACTTGGTTTTTCTCTGTCTAAAGTCATTCACTCTTCTGTGTTGGGATGGAGAGCGTTGCCTTAACTCTGCGTAGTATTTCTGACCAGTGGTCAAGTTATGCGGAATGTTGCAAAATATTCATATGCTGTTAGAATCATGTATGGACTGCATTTAAAAAGGCACAGTTTAGCAGGTAGTCCTTGAAATAACCTGGTAAAAATGTAGTTTTTGCAATTACTGTTCTTGAATATCTGCCAGTTTGCTCCTGTTGATTTTGTAAACTTGAGATTAGCAACCGTTTATATTGGCCTTAGCTTTTTCAGACCATACTGGTCTGAGGTCAGTTGAAACACATAGCTATAAGCCAGACGCAGTGCTTGAAATTATCAGGAAGCTTTCAGAGTGGGAAAACGAAGTTTGCAAAACGTTCAACCAAAAAAAAAAAAAGAAAGTGATAAATCATTGACCTACATAACCTGTGGAATCCCATAAGATAGTTTTTTCAAAGAGTCATATTCTGACGATGAGATTGTTTTAACACAGACAGAATTGCCTAGCAACTTAAATTTGGAATTGAAATAATACAAGCTGAAAAATTGAATATATTTCTCTTTCCTATGTTCAGTAGCAAGAGCTGTTTTGGCCTTTTTTTCATGGACAAACTATGTCAGTTTATCATTTAGTTTAATGTGAAGCTTTCAAAAGCAAAACGCTCCCTCTCCCCCTGGCACAGTGCATTGCAGGAGATAATGCAGAAATAGATAAATCATTCTTAGTGTGCAGTTCAGAAACATAGACAGTGCTGTGTTGGCATAACATAACTCTTGAAAACTATTTTCCAGAATGCTGGAGCAGTGATTGGAAAAGGTGGAAAAAATATTAAGGCACTTCGTACAGACGTGAGTATATATGAGTTTGAACTAATTTAACACCAATTCTTTCAGAGCGCTACGTTGAAAACTTGATTGCGTGCATTTCTAGAAATTGAGGAATTCAACTCTAGACATCAGTAGTCTAGTTACAAGCCATTCGTAATAATTGTTAGAGTAGATAACTTCGTTTTTCAGTTTGTATTGTAGTTTAAACCCAGCTTGAGTCATGTGAGAGGAGAGGCTTGTATTAAACCTCTTTCCTTTCTAAAAGGAATCCACTAAATTACACACTTCAAGTGAGTTAACATCTTAATTAGAAATATTGACAAAGCTTGAAACCCTTAATTATACCATTTCCCATATGTGTGAATCAGTTGTAGTACTGCTGAAACCATTGCAGGTGGCTGGCTTAAACCAGTGATAGAGGAATTCTTTAACTTCCTTTAAAAAAAACAAACAAACAAAACTGTCCATCTGTTCTTTCTTCAGCAGCTTGCACGTGAAGAACAAAAACATTAACGTTAAGGTTGCATGATTTAGATATGAGTATAGAACAGTAAAGAAACATTCTGTTATGTTAATTGGAAGCATTTTTAAATGATCATGATTTATTTACCTATTCACATTTTATAGTGGGTTGACTCTTGTGATTAGACACATGTTCAGCGTTAATGTTATGTATTTATAAAACTTGGCAACGCTTCTTAAATTCCATTTGTTTACACTCCTGTACTTAACATCAGCTACAATTCCAGCAATTTTTCAAGCAAGACTGTGTTCAACACAATATTTGGTAATATATCATTGCACAATCAGTTCCAACTAAGTTCATAAACTA